TCTAGTGGTCAGAGTTCCTGGCTACAGATCCAGAGCTCCCGGGATCGATTCCTTGCGCTACCAGATTTTCTGAGAAGTAGTGTGTCTGGAACGGGGTCCACTCAGCCTCGTGAGGATAATTGAGGAGCTATTTCAAGGAAATAACGGCTCCGGTCTAGAAAACCGAAATTAACGGCCGTGGAGACCCGTTCCGCTGACCACGCGATACCCTCTATTCGCTAAAGTTGGCACTAACTTCTCCGACAAGTGATGGTTGCTCGGTCGGTATAGTTCGCTTGCAGACTAAAATCACGGAGTTTGTTGTTTTTTTTTGTACATGTTAAGCTAAGCAGTGTCGATTGAACCTGAAAGATAATCATTTAATGCAAGTAAAGTAGTATCTGGCTAATAGATTCTTGGGTTATTTAACGACGTTGCATCATCCGTATAGATCGAATAGGATAACTACACTGCTGAACTAGTAAGGATGTTAAGGGAAGTGATTGTGGTCGCTTTCAATGTGCTACTGTAAACTGTAGTTCCCTGAGAGACTGTGCGAAGCGGAGATTCGAAACTGGACCGTCCAGAATACGAAGCAGGAGTACAAAAACTGAACTACGACATTCGGAATAAGGATCTGGAAGGAGGTCATTATGCTAGATGCCTACTGCATTCACTTACAGAATCAGAGGAGAATTATAACGAAAAATAAGGGCCGAATTTAAGGGGGGGGGAGAAGGGGGCGTCTATAAAACGGAAACAGATTACAGAGATCTTACTGAGACATTCAAGAAAATTTGTTTGTACTTTCAATTATAAGAAATAAGAGCAAAAATATAGGATTGCCATAATCTGCATTTGTTGTTTCTCATAGGGGCTTCCATATTTTTACTGTAAACCCGGCCCTGCGAACAAGAAACAGAAATTCCGATAAAACTCCGTGGCTTTAGTCCGCAAGCGAACTATACCGCGACCGCCGCCTGTCAGCAAAGTTAGTGCCAACTTTAGCGGACGGAGGGTGTCGCATGGTCATCGCAACGAATCCCCACGGCCGTTAATTTCGGTTTTCTAGACCGGAGCCGCTATTTTCTTGAAATAGCTCCAAAATTATCCTCATAAGGCTGTGTGGACCCCGTTAAAGACCCACTACTTCTCAGAAAATCTGGTAGCGCCGGGAATCGAACCAGGGACATCTGAAAGTTCTCCGAAATTCTAACTTTCCAGAACACATATAAAGAACGTCAGCGTTAATGGATGTGTACAGATGCCGCCACTTTCACCGTAGTCTTAACGTTGTAGTGTTCAGATCCACCATACAAATGAACTGAGTTATGAAAGCTGAAACAGAGGAAATAAACATCAGTAGCAGAAGCAGGATTCCATTAGGGCGCGGCTTCAAACTTGTGTGACGATCGTCGCACCGCGTGGGAAAATTAATGTCCGCAATGCCACTGCATTCTGACAGTCACTTCCGCGTGTAATTCTTCCTTTTCTTACTGTATTTCTTAGCCTTTGGCCTTCGAATACATTTTCGAAAACAATGTTCTTTCTTTTTCCTTCGTAGTGTGTTCGAAAAGAAAATAATTACAGTGCAGGTGTTGAGACTGCGATGTCAGGAGCGGATCCACAATGCAGCATTCTCGTTCCAAAGAAAAGCAACTCACAGACACCACATTAATTTTTTTTGTTTGTCTTTTGTAGTGTTTCTTTTCGGTTTCCTGGCGTGGCTGTAGTTTAGCGCAGCAGAATTTACTTCCCGGTGAAAAATAGAAGGCGTTAGTGATAGTAGCATGAGGAAGAGCCGCGCAGTTGGCCCGCACGTGCGCCTTCATGTTATCACACGCGGCCTGTCTCGTCTCACTGAACACCGAGCTCTGAAATACCAGCGACAGAAATAACAACTCAGTTCCACAGCCTAGTTCCATTTTCGCTATTTCAGGTACCAAATATCTTGAGTTAAATACTGAAGTTCCTTATTTGTTTTTTAGCCAGTTCCAATTCAGAACTGGTCCTGAAACAATGAATATTGTAGGCATTTGGTAAGATTGCTTGGATGGAGGATCGGCCCTTTACACACACAGGACACAAACCAAATGCCGGTAGAATTCCATGCTCCTAGCAGGACTGCTACTTCCGTCTGAGACCACGCCCTCCCACGCTCTCAATAACTATACACACTAAAGAACGTTTTAAATCCTGAAAGAGAAGATAATCTCGAAGATTTAGCCGTGGGGCATGCCATAACTCAGGCGGTTAGTTGCCGGGTTCCCATCGTGGTGGCCCGGGCTCGAGCCCTGGTCGGGTCATGTGGGATTTATGGTGAACAAAGCGGCACTGGGGCAGGTTTTCTCCGAGTACTTCGGTTTCTCTTACCAATTCTCATTCCACCGACTGCTCCACACTTATAGATCATCCGGGGCTGGTACAATAAGCCAACAGTGGCCGACGTACCAAGTGGACTCAGTATCGCCCCACCCAAATAAACTTAAAAAAAAAAAAAAAGATCTAGGAGTAGATGGAAGGACGAATCTGGTGCCGAGCTCTGGTGATCACTGTAGTGCACAATCGGGTTACCGTTTTACATTAAAGGCAAAGAATTTATGATTATCTGAGCGACTATTAGCTTCTCAAGCTTTCGGAATTGGTGAGTTAGAGAACATTCCGTCCCACTGTTTCTCTGAGTTAGCTTTAAGAAATCAGAAGCCTGCGGCGGGGCCCAGAACATATGGACTTCAGCTCCTCTGGTTTACAGAAGTTCTTACAATTACGGGAAAATATTGACGTGGTACAATAACAATAACAAAAAGAACGTAAAATAACGACGACTGCCGTAATTTATTACTGTTATTATTACTACGCGGTGAAGCAGACCACTCACCTCCAGCTAGTGCAGAGGTCAAGAAAACGTAGATCTATACATCCATTTCCCCATACGCCTTCATGGCGTAGTGCTTAATTAGTTAAGCACAGGGACAACTTTTCATTTTTACTATTGCCAGTTTCAGTAGTAGAAATAGTAAGTTTTATTTTCTGTTACTGAATAACTTATTACTTAAATGATGGTTTCGTCTACGATAGCTTTGGACATAACCACAAACATCTATACAATCGTGTCGCCATGTTTGTAGTTTCCCTTTTACTTACAAACAATGTTTTACACCGAAGTTGTAGGCTTGTTAATGATCTATCTCTGTATCAAATTTCACACGCCTCGCATCAACGGTTCATTAATTATCGCTATAAAAATTGGGCTATAGATTTCATTCATCTTCCACGTTGTTCTTTCTAATGCTATAAAATTATTTCAAGCTCCTTTACCATACATCGCTTCAGGCCCCAATATTCATTCGCGCTAGTTTTGCTTCGTTCGTGCGTCCGAAATTGTAGGAAATGTAAATAATACATAAACTTTGAATGGACTTCACTGCCATAACATTCACACCAAGTTTCGCGATAATAGGTCAATAGGCTCAAACTCTGAAAGGTTTTCACATGTATGCACGCCCACACACATACAGCATTCCTTAAGAGAGGAAAGTAGGCTACAATAAGTACTAAATTGCTTCTGTTACTACTAAACGATGGTTTACTATAATCACAATGATCATGGACGGGTCCAAAACAGTTGTACGAAGTTCTTCAAGAAAAAACATACTCACATAGTAAAAAAAAGTAAAGTAAATTTATCCCTGTAACAGGCCATGGAAGCCCATAGGGTTGTTAGATGTTGAGGTTCCCACATTTTCTAGATAATCGGCTCATAGATGGCGTTAAGGTTGTCAGCCCTACGCGCCGGCCGCCCTTTACCCCCAAGACCATTCCAAGAATATTCCTGGTACTCATTTCTGTTAGAGGTGAGTCGACCCCAGGGCCACAGTGCAGTTGGAAGGATTAGGTAAATTGTAAAAAATCCAATGACCTCATCTGGATTCGATCCCGAAACCTTCCAGTCTGTAGCATAAGTGCCTAAACCAACTACGCTACCACGTGCCCCCAAATATACTCACATAGACAAATTAAGACTTCCACAGTCGGAATATGAGTAGTCATTTTCCCCAGTCCCTACTGAAAGGCTGCACTATCCAGCTTTACATAGCTGTAACAAAGTAAGGAGTTGAAATTTTGTGCTTACTTCTCAACACAGACATTTATTCTAGAAAACTTTTGTTAATACTTACATCCAAAGCCCCTGGAAATATAAAACGTAGAGAAATATGCAAATACTCTAAAAACGTGCTTTCATTCACTGCCTATAGCATTGTCTTCAATATAGTAGAAATTCCGACGAACAAATGGCAAAATAATTTGTTTGAAGAAATGAAATTCCGTACTTCACACTTACAAGATAATATATTCATGAATAGGTGATCACGCGCCAAATTGACATTGTCTGTTTAAAAGTTTGCTACACTTACAAGTTATCCAATTTTGAAGAAGAAAACATTTCACTTTAATACATACTGATGTTTAATGAATGTTGAAATATTATAGGCATAAAATGTAAAGTTTTGGAGGCATAAGTTGGGAATGAGCAATAATTTTAGTTAAAGCATCACCGAAGAGTATAATGTAAGCTAATACATGTGACGCAATTATTGGAACTGGCGTTTCTCTTGTGGCAGCCCTGTAAACGTGTTATGGCGACGGGAAAGGACGCTGTTTTCAATTTGTTCTAATTTTAAGCGAATGTAACACATGAGGACCAAAATTTAAAGAAATAATTATTATACGTGTATTAAACTATGTCACAGCGACGCAGGAGAAATGTGTTGGATGCGGAGGAAGGCATATCTGATTTAAAAACTCCAGTGCATATTGAAAGCACGGGTAGACGAACCTCAAAACAGTCGGCATGGGTTAGTATCGTTTGCATATATTCCTTAAGCTTTCGTTGTAGTTATGACTGAATACGTTAACAGATATGAAACTTAATTTTAACCCGTTATTCATTTTTTAATGTTTCACTACAGCTTTAAAATTGCACATTGTGAGTGCTGACTAAAGCATGCGAATATTTACAGATTGAAGATGAGGCAGAAGAATTAATAAGTTTAAAATCGAGGAGTGCTGTACGTCAAGTGTGTGATAATGAAGCAGAATCATCATTCATCACATCACCAACGAGAAGCTCGGTGTCTACAGTAGGAAGCAGCAGACAACGAAGGAGAGAAATGACTGCCACAGAATCTCCCTCAGTTGGGCATTCTGCAAAAACAGATACTGTTGAAGATATCTATTCACTAAGAAGAGACAAGAGTTCAACACCGGTATCATATCTTTCTCGGACAAATAAGGTAGCAGATACCAGGATGATACATTGGTTCCTATTGGTAGTTATAGCATATATTGAAGCTATATGATGACAAGTTGTACTTTTTTTGTAATTATTTACTGACAGAAATCTGTAATTGTATTTTTGAAGTTAAGATATGTTTTCTTCATTATATTTTATGCATGTATATATATTTTTCCAATGAATTTGAACTTTTAATTTAATTTCTTGTGTTCTTCCATACGAATGTTATGTTTATTTCAGCATATAAAATGTTCACAAGAAGTTTGGCTATACATGGTTTCATAAGGATTTATACTTCAGAGTCAGAGGGATATGGTCACTGTATTGTAAAACTGTTCAATTTTTAATGAATGAAAACTGTGGCCATTACATCATTATGATTATATACGAGATACTGAAAGATTATTGTCATAAGCAACACAGATTAATATGATTTTCTTAGTGTTCTTCAGTCCCTACAGGAAATGAGACTTTAAACTAGGCCATGAATTACTTCCTTCTCTCTTTCCAAATTCTTCATTCAGGCATCCTACCATACACTAAAAATAGGGGAAAAAATTTCCATGAATAAGAAGCTTGTCTCTTGATTCTATTCAGATCTTGCAGTATAATGTTACAGCACATAATTTCAGGATGTAGAGTTTGATTTTTAGGGAATGGGTGTGTTATAGGCAGATTTTGTTGCACACGTTTGTATAATTGTAATTTACTTTAATATGCTTAATTACAAGTGTAATTGTTAACTGGAGGCCATGCTCATTCCAGGGCACCCTGGATCATTTAAGTAAGGATGAAATGGAATCTAAAGATATCATGAGCACTGGCAGCAGACATTCGCTTGGAGAATCATCTATAGAGGGCAGTAGGAGTTTCACTCCGCAATCAGATAGCCGATCATATCGAGATAGACTGAGAGACCGATTTCAAGCTGTGCGGGTAAGCTGGTACTTTAATTTGAGTGATTGTTTTTCTTTTCTTTCTTTAAAGTATCTGGGATTTAAATTGTTTTGTTATCTTTTGTGTAGGAACGTGCTGGAACTTCAGTGATTGAGACGCATACTCGCTCACGCTTGAGACGCAGACGTTTGAATCAGCCCAGTGGTTCATGTTTTGATGATCTCGTAAGTGGCATTTTATTGTTTTACTTGTAATAAGTGATTTGTTTGAGACATGGCACTAGCCCACTGGAGCCAGAAGAACTGTTTGAGACATGGCACTAGCCCACTGGAGCCAGAAGAACTGTTTGAGACATGGCACTAGCCCACTGGAGCCAGAAGAACTGTTTGAGACATGGCACTAGCCCACTGGAGCCAGAAGAACTGTTTGAGACATGGCACTAGCCCACTGGAGCCAGAAGAACTGTTTGAGACATGGCACTAGCCCACTGGAGCCAGAAGAACTGTTTGAGACATGGCACTAGCCCACTGGAGCCAGAAGAACTGTTTGAGACATGGCACTAGCCCACTGGAGCCAGAAGAACTGTTTGAGACATGGCACTAGCCCACTGGAGCCAGAAGAACTGTTTGAGACATGGCACTAGCCCACTGGAGCCAGAAGAACTGTTTGAGACATGGCACTAGCCCACTGGAGCCAGAAGAACTGTTTGAGACATGGCACTAGCCCACTGGAGCCAGAAGAACTGTTTGAGACATGGCACTAGCCCACTGGAGCCAGAAGAACTGTTTGAGACATGGCACTAGCCCACTGGAGCCAGAAGAACTGTTTCAAGAGTGTAGACACTTCAGTTCTTGTATTACTGCAAGAAGCAGAATTATTTTAATGAAAATTTTATTAACGCTTTACATTTTGTCTTGTTATATTATTTTTTTGTATTTGTTTATTTGGGAATTCTTTGTGAATTGCAAAATGTAAGGATGATTATCAGACATTAGTAAGGATGTCATTCTTATCTTATGTTTGTATTGGCATTTAAAACCTAGTGGTATAATTGAATTTGTAATGTTACCCTAAAATCACTTTATAATAATAATAATTGTAATGAAGTTTTTCCAAATGAGTGAATTCTTTAATAAAATTTTAATATAGAAGTTCATGATTAAACACAAGTCTGAGATGAGTATTACATATTTGTCCTGTTAGGTAGAAAATTATTTTTGGCGTAAAAATGGTTAAGCTTCTCAGTTATTTTGAATATATGTACATATATTTATTTCAGCTTCGGAAAGAAGAAGCTCAAGTCGGAGATGCACTGGAGAGACATGAAGAAGTGAAGGCAAGGTGGAAGGAAACAATTGAAGCTGTGAAAGAGGTACTGTGTTGTGATATATTGTATAATTTTCACAGTAACTATGTTCTAGCCTGCACTGTATAGCATGTAACAAGTGTATATGAAAGTGCTTTCTTTAAGTTTTGGTAAATAAAATACTAATACATTCTGATTATCAAAAATATGCACCTTTGAATCCAATATTTCTCTTCTTTTTGAAGTTTTCCCATTTCCATAATTCCTTCATTCATGTACTCCACAATTCTCAGACATTCCAGTTGCCTGTATTCAAATTCCTTTACTTATTTTATAAACACCCTGTATCACACATTTGTGTCTTCTTGTTGGTATCCAGTGAATTAATTGTTTTACCCACCTCCAATGTTCTCCCATTCTTTCAGCATATCCATATTGCAAAGGCATTTTATTCTGTATTATGTGCGCAGTATTTTACTGGGCTTTCTTTATCCCTTTTGGAGAACATACTTACAAGACAGAAAGCATGCCCAGTATAAAGGAAATTATGTAGACAGATTTGGACAACATTAAAACTGACCTCAAATGAACTACTTTTCTTCATTTCTTGACCCTTATATTATTGATGTTCCTTGCCATCTGGTGATCCCCACAGAAAGGGCTTCCCCGCAAATTTATTAAGTTTCAAAAGAACATTAATAACAGATTCATGTTTAGCATCCAGAATTATGGAATTTCATTCCCTTGCTGGTAGTCAGATTTTAACTTGGAGGTCATGATATGTAATAGCATGCCTGGAGAACTATGAGCATGATAACACAATACTGTGAGGCACATCCAGAAACATTAACTTAGGAAATGTTCAGTACTTTTCAGCTGACATTCTTTTCTGTCTAAAATCTAAAGGATTGAAATGTAATTTTTTTTTAATTTTACCTGCCCTTTTGTATGGTGTGAAACTTTGTCTCTTACTCTTATGAAGGAAGAACGTAGATTGTGGGTGTCAGAAAACAAAGTGTCAAGCAGAATTTTTTGACCTAAGAGAGATGAAATAACAAGGAACTGGAGAATTTTACATAATGAGGAGCTTCATAATTTGTACTCTTCACCAGATATTATTAAGGTGTTTAGATTAATAAGAATGAGATTGGCAGGACATATAGCATATATGGGGTGAGTGAGAAATATATATTAAATTGTGAGAGGAAAAAGATGAAGGAAGAGCCCATTTTGGACAACTTGACATAGGTGGGAGGATAATTTTAAAATAGACCGTAGGCAGATTGGATATGATGTCAGCTGAATGTAAGTAGCTTCTGATAGTGTGTGGGATTTTTTACACATGGTGATGAACCTTGGGGGTTCTATAAAGATAAATATTTTGACCAATTGAATAACAAATATCCACTCAAGAAAATCATATGTTGTGAGGTTTTTGGGTTATGTATGCCTTTAAATTAATGAAGAAAAGTTAAGAAGCATTCAGTATCTCTGACTAAACATGAGACTATAATGTTAATTTGTAAATTGGTTCTCGGATACACATCGAGAGTGGAATTGTAGACATTCCACTATTTCAAAGTGTGCTAACAACAGAAGGGCTTGGTGCAAGAACCAGTCATGTGCAGATAGCATAATTTTATAGGAGAGAACAAAAAAGGTTAAAAAATTAATGCCTGAAGTGACTAAAATGAAACTTTTATATGATGTAACCTAGAAGTGTATAAGAAATTGGGAGAAGTGTTCTTTGCTCTGGACATTTATGTGTAACTTTATAATTTTAAATAAAGGACAGTAGTTTTAGAGGGTTGATTGGTTCAAACCATCACCTGTGTCCCTATTAAATGTTTTAGAAGACAAATAGCATGTTTCTTACCAAAAAAAAAAAAATAGTTGAAAGTAGAGGATGAAAGTAGCAACAGCATTTAGGCTATGCCTGCAGCAAAGTTGATCTGAATTTATGCTATGATTGATTCTTTATGCCATGCTTTTTGTAACTGGTACACATACTGGCAAACAGTTGATTCATGCCAGCAGACAGCTGACACGTACTAGAAAACTTATCAAAAGTCAGGTGACAAATGTTTTGGCCCTATATGAAAACCAAACATTAGAATATTGCAAACAAGTTTTTAGAAAAGGCATTACTTGTGTATTACTTAACAGTGCTGCCTACTGAAGAGGTTATGTAGCATCAAATGAGTCAAGATAGATGATGATGGTGAGTATGTAAGGATTTGGAAGAAAGTAGTAACGGACTATTTAAAGATGCTATACAGCACTTTGTTGGTTTGGGGGGGGGGCTGAGAAAAACCACACAAAATCTCAGTGAAGGTGGCTGTAACCTGCCTTGTATCTGAGTTGAGTATTATCTTAAAACAAGTCCAGAGCATTAAAGTTACTCTAGACTGCTCAGTAAATCTGTGTTATAGCATGTATTTTTTCTCAATACATTTTATAAACCTCCCATGAAATTAAAATGTAAATATGTTAGTCACAGAAGCACTGCAAGATAACAGCATTGATTTTGTAGGTATCAGCCCTGAGCATGTCTATGTAGTGTGCCTGCTAGCCCAACCCTGAAAATATTTGTTTCCAGTTAATTAAAGCTTTTTCTTCACACCAACACTGAATTCACTCTAATTGTATATTTCTTGAATGTCTGAATTTTCACAACCATTCAAACAATGCAAGTTGAAGATGCAGTAATTTTTGTTTTCAGTCAGACAATATATTTTCAGTATTTTCAAAATAGAATCTGCTGTAGACTACTTTATTGCTTGAAACTTGTGTAGGTAAATGGTCTAACACCGCATGGTAAATTCTGTGTTAATCAGAGCATGCCACAAGCTCCTGCATGTAGCACCGTTATTAATAGTGCATGTGGACTTCTTTGTGGTTCAGTTTTTTAACACTGGATGTTATTTAACTTCAAATGAAATGAAAAGGCTGATAATGTATGAAGAACTGCAAACAAGTGCATTCTATTCCAAGGTACTGTTCTGGGACTGAGGAAATTAATGTATATGCTCTGACATGCTGCACCTTTGCTAAGATTCAAACCAGGTACTTCCCAAACAGTTCCTATTTGAACCAACTTGTGTAGCTGAGAACTTTGGGCTGCAAGAAAAGTAAAAGATGCATTTTTAGTGTAAATGAAAATTTTGTATTATTATGTTGCAGAAGGCACACAAAAGAAAGTTGAAATTACAGTTTATTAGATGAATGGTCAGTAATTCACAGAAATCATCAATAGCATCTTTTATAGAACATTCTAAAGTATCATTTAATATTGATATAGTGTTCAGATGTCTCAAAAATTAGATGGATTTGTGTTGAAATATATGTTAATTGGGCACATTTATATTTTATAAAATTTATTTTTACATATGAGGCACATGGATTCAGTTTTTATATTAGCGAATACCTGAATGAACTGTCTCAGACTGACCAAACTTTTCTGATTAAAAGTGTTGGCAGGGTATGACCTACTCTATGCTCGTAATGAATATGGTGTGAACTGCTATCTGGAGTAATTTTCTATCTTAGGCTGTTTCCAAAAATTGTGAAAAGCACCTATTGGCTTCATCATGTTTGTATGTCTGTGTGTCCATCTGTTGGTCCACATGAAACAATCCAGCTTCCACTGAATGCATTTTTTGACCGTTTATATTGGGGCTTTGTACTAAAACCTGTCAACTTTTGCAGTTTTGGTTAAAACTGAACAAAAATAATGGACACTTTATACAAAGAACCAAATGTGTTTTTTCAGAGTATCAACATCAAGATGAAATATCTGAACATACCTCAAATATTATGTTATATGTGCATTTCCTATTTTGTTTTTTAATTTATTTGATATAATGAAGAGCTTCATAACTTGTACTCTTCACCAAGTATAATTAGAATGATCAAGTCAAGGAGGATGAGGTGGGCAGGGCATGTAGCACGAATGAGGAGAAGAGGAATGCATATAGGATATTGGTGGGAAAGCCAGAAGGAAAGAGACCACTAGGAAGACCAAGATGTAGGTAGGTGGACAATATTAAAATTAATCTTAGAGAGATAGGATGGGATGGTATGGATTGGATTGATCTGGCTTAGGACAGGGACCAGTGGAGGGCTCTTGTGAACACGGTAATGAACCTTTGGGTTCCATAAAATGCTGAGAAATTCTTGAGTAGCTGCAGAATTGGTGGCTTCTCAAGAAGGCCTCAGCTCCATGAGTGAGTGAGTGATTGTTGGGTTACTTGAAATTAGAATTGGGATCGCTTGGTGAGTTTAGTGTTGGGCTATGGGCTGGATGGCCTGGGTTTGATTCCTGGCAAGGGCAAGTTTCTTCTCTTCTCCATAACTTCCAGACTGGCTCTGGGACCCACTGAGCCTCCTATCCAGCGGGTACCAGGGATTGTTTCCGCGAAGTAAAGTAAAAAGGTAAAAAGCTAAAGCCGTCCCTGTAACAAGCTGTGGAGACCCACAGGGTTGTGAGACGTTGAGGCTTCCACATTTTCTAGACGGTCAGCTCATAGATGGCGGTGAGGTTGTCAGCAATACGTGCCAGCTGCTCTTTACCCCCTGGAAGATTCCTTGTACTCATTTCTGTTAGAGGCTGAGTCGACCCTAGGGCTATAGTGCGGCAGGAAGGATTAGATCAATTGAGAAATCCAGTGACCTAATTGGGAATCAAATCAGCGATCTTCCAGCTTGTAGCATAGTGCCTCAACCAACCATGCTACTGCGTGCCCCTCTTAATTAATTAACCACACGGAAGAGTTTTACCTTTTTTGGATGTGGGGGTGGGGTTACTTGTAATAGCCTGTTCAACAGGCTGTTTCGTTTTCACGTGCGGCATCTGTTTGGCTAGAAGTAAGTAATAGTTGTCATAAGCAGTTTTGTGATTTTGGACAAATGTAATGGGACAGCATGTTCAGAAAGTGTGGATAGTGTAAATTATCACTGATAAATTGCAAATAAGGCATTGTATTTAATTAATTTTGTGTGAAATGAAATGTTGATTTGATCCTAGTTTAATTTATAAGGTGTCACCTTATTTAATCATGACCTAA